ACGTGCCCAAGGTCACTCGGAGAGTCGGGCCGGGCGGGGAAGACCCAAGCAAGGTTTTTGTTCCCGGCTGGTGACGCCTCCTTTGTGTGCCAGCGCCGCCGCCCCGCCATCGTGGGGCCTGCGAGCCTGCCAGGGCTCCTGGGCCGCGTGGCGCGGAGTTTTCTCGGTTCAGATGGGGCCGAGGACGCGTGCGGGCTCAGACCCGGGGGCGCCGAGCTCAAGGCCTGGAACTTAGCATGGCCTCAGCTTCCGGAAACTTACCGGCCCAGGCGGGGCGTTGGTGAGATGTGTGTGTGTGCGGCCGGCGGCCCTGCTCTCCCCGGCTCGGGCCCTCCTCTCTGGCGTGCCTGTAGACGGGTAAGGAAATCAATTCCGTTTTCAAGGTCCGAAACACAGTACCTACTGAACCCCGCTTCTCCACCTTTTGATCCATCGAGGAAAGAGGGGAAAGGGTCATTTGGGCGAGTCTTTTCTGTAGGGATTCTAGCTTTTGTCTTATATTTGTCGGTGCCTCTGGCTGTTCAGTCTTATCTCCCTTCTGCTGCTGCACCAAATTCTTGGAGCCGGACCTGAGGTCTCAGGTCTGGAATCTTGCTCTCGACCTAGGTTTCCCAGTTGGTTGGGGAGATTGAGGCCCAGAAAGGCGAGGTTATCTGCCCAAGGTCACACAGCTGGCAGACTGAGTTCCTAACTGAAGAATTGACTTTTGAGTTCAGTGACCAATAATTTTGGGACCACTGGCAATGAAAATCAGAGGTGCCGAAGATCTTTTTTTCTTTCCCTGATCATTTGCTTTTTAATGGTCAAGGAGGCATTGGGTTCAATTTTACCCTTGAGTTTGAGGTGAAATGGGAGCATTTGAGTAGAAAGACATGGTATTGCTGGCTGAACTTGAGCTTTTGGCTCTGATTTTAAAAATCTTACTTTAATATAGTGCTTATCAGTCTTTTTTTTTTTTGAGTTGGAGTCTCACTAGGTCGCCCAGACTGGAGTGCAGTGGCCGCTCCCGGCCACCGCGGCCTCGACCTGCTGGGCTCCGGTGATCCTTCCGCCTCAGCCTTCCAAGTAGCTGGAACTACAGGCATGTGCTATCACGCCTGGCTGATTTTTTTGTTTTATTGTAGAGATGAGGTCTTGCTGCCCAGGCGGGTCTCGAACTCGCGGGCTCAGGCCATCCACTCACCTCAGCCTCCCAAAGGCGCAGGATTACAGGCTGAGCCACCGAGCCCGGCTAGTCTTTTTTTTTTTAAGGAACTTTTTTAGACTTTGTTTTCCTGAGCATCTCCATGAATTTTTTTCTTTTCTTTTTTTTTTTTGAGTTGGAGTCTCTGTTGCCCAGGCTGGAGTGCAGTGGCATGCTCACGGCAACTGCAGCCTTGACCTGCTGGGCGCAAGTGATCCTTCTGCCTCAGCCTTCCAAGTAGCTGGAACTGCAGGCACGCAGCCACCAATCCTAGCTAATTTTTGATTTATTGTAGAGGTGAGGTCTCGCCAGGTTGTCCAGGCTGGTCTGGAACCCATGGACTCAGACAAACCTCTCACCTCAGACTCCCAGAGTGCTGGGATTATAGGTGTGAGTCACCACACTCCGTGAAATTTTAATGTCACACATAAACTATATTTTTATGTAATGTGTGTATATTTGGACTTTGTACATAAAATGGGTAAGGTTTTTCACTCTAAGAATGCATGTATTAATATTCTAAGCCAGCATGTTTTTGAGCCAATGCTGTTTTACCATTCCAAAAATCCTAGAGTCTGAGGATTGCGTTAAAAGCCTGAATAACAGCACATCTGTTTTTTTGTTTGTTTATTTGTTTTTTGAATTGGAGTCTCACTCTGTTGCCCAGGCTAGAGTGCAGTGGCACACTCACGGCCACTGCAACCTTGACCTGCTGGGCTCAGATGATCCTTCTACCTCAGCCTTCCAAGTAGCTGGAACTACAGACATGTACCACCACGCCCGGCTAATTTTTGATTTATTGATGAGGTCTCCCCAAGTTGCCCAGGCTGGTCTGGAACCCATGGGCTCAGGCAATCCTCTTACCTTGGCCTCCCAAAGTGCTGGGATTATAGTCGTGAGCCACTGCCCCTGGCCAGCATATCTGTTTATAATGTAGTTTATTGAATATTTTAAACTTACTATTGAGACCTGCAGCTCAGAAAAAAAGATTTATTTCAAAAAAATACTGCTTATTGGCAAAGTTTATTTGGCTCGCAGTCACCTAACAGCTGAACAAGGAGATTAATGTTTTTATGCTGTTAACACAACATCCACTCTACAGCCCACGGACCAAGAAGTAGTTTTTCAAGTCTCTTTTAAGAAGTGCATTTTGTAAGGTAACAGCTGCCATAGATAGTGAGTCCTCTCATGGATCTGGCCCTTGTAAATTGCAAACTTTCTGGAAAGGGTACACCATCCTAGACACCATTAAGAGCATTCATGATTCATGAGAGGGGGTCATGGTATCAATGTGAATGTGAATTTGAAAGAAGTTGATTCTGATCCTCATGGGTGACTTTGAGAGGTTCAGGACTTCGGTGGAGGAAGTCACTGCAGATGTTGTGAAAATAGCAATAGAGCTAGAATTAAAATTGGAGCCTGAGAATGTGACCAAATTACTATAGTCTCATGAGGAAACATGAATGGATATGGAGTTACTTATGAATGAGCAAAAAACATGTTGTCTTGAGGTGGCATCTACTCCTGGTGAAGATGCTGTGAACATTGTTGAAATGACAGCAAAGAGCCAGGCTCGGTGGCTCAGTCTGTAATCCCGTGCCTTTGGGAGGCTGAGGTGAGTGGATTGCCTGAGCTCGCGGGTTTGAGACCCACCTGGGCAGCGAGACCTCATCTCTACAATAAATCAAAAAATCAGCCGGCTACTCGGAAGGCTGAGGCGGAAGAATTGCCGGAGCCCAGCAGGTGGAGGCTGTGGTGGCCGGGAGCGGCCACTGCACTCCAATCTGGGCGACAGAGTGAGACTCCAACTCAAAAAAGAAAGAAAGAAATGACAACAAAGGACTTAGAATATTCCATAAACTTAGCTGATAAAGCAGTGACAGGGTTTAAGAGGATGGACTATAGTTTTGAAGTTTTGCTGTGTGTAAAATTCTATCAAAAAGCGCTACATGCTATAGAGAAATCTTTTGTGAAGAGTCAATTGATGTAGTTAACTTCTTTTCTTTTTTTCTTTTGAGCTGGAGTCTCACTGCCGCCCAGGCTGGCGTGCAGTGGCACACTCATGGCCACTGCAGCCTTGACCTGCTGGGCTCAGGTGATCCTTCTGCCTCAGCCTTCCAAGTATCTGGAACTACAGGAGCGTGTCACCACATCCAGCTAGTTTTTTGATTTATTGTTCAGATGATGTCTCGCCAATTTGCCCAAGCTGGTCTCAAACCTGTGGGCTCAGGCAGTCCTCTCGCCTCTGTCTCCCAGGCTGGATTGCAGTGGCACTATTCCTGGCTTACTGCAGCCTTGACTTTCTGGGCTTGGGCAATCCTTCCACCTCAGCCTGTGAGTAACTGGGATTACTGGCGTGTGCTACCATTCCTGGTTAATTTTTTTATTTTTTGTAGAGACAAGGTCTCTCTATGTTGCCTAGACTAGTCTCGAATTCCTGGGCTGAAGCAATTCTCTCCCTTCAGCCTCTCAAAGTGCTAGGATTCAGACACGAGCCAAGGTGCCTGGCCCATTTACTTTAAGAAGTGGAGGGCAGGGGGGGGAACAGAAGTGAGAACCGATGGGGAAGCTCAAACTTCCCCTGTATGTAGTCCACTTATGTAGCTAAACATGACTTGTACTCCACATCTGTAAAATAAAGAGGGGAAAAAAAGATGGCCACAGCCACCCCAACCTTTATCAACCACTGCCCTGTTCAGTCAGCAGCCATCAACATTATGGCAAGGCCCTTTACCAGCAACAAAAAGTTACTTCTGAATTGAAGGTTCAATGATCATTAGCATTTTTTAGGAATCAAGTTTTTAAATTAAGGTATGTGCTTTTTTTAGGTCAGAGAATATAGTTTATTTAAAAGCAAATGGAGGGGGAGGATGCACCTCCCCAAGGGAGAGGAGGGTCCCGAGCTTAAGAAAACATGACCTGGCCATAGCTCACAGAGCACATGGACACACCATAGCTTAGCAAGGCAATGGCCAAGGAATATACTTTTTTTTAATGCTATTGTACACCTTGTAATTTGCTACAGTTTAGTGTAAACAAAATTTTTATATGCACTGGAAAACCAAAAATCTGTGTGACTCACTTTGTTGTGATATTTGCTTTATCTGTGATAGTCTGCGGCCAGGCTCATGTATCTCTGAGGTATGCCCGTGTAGGTTGTGCAAGAAGTGTAGTGAGAGATGGGACTAGAGAATTAACCAGGAACTAAATCACAAAAGGTCAAGGAGTTTAAAATTTATCTTAAGGTGAAGTGGGAAACACTAGATTTTAAGCTGGGAAGTAGCACAGTGGTTTTTTGTTTTGTTTTGTTTTTTAGAAATATCATTAGGTCAAGGAGTTTAAAATTTATCTTAAGGTGAAGTGGGAAACACTAGGTTTTAAGCTGGGAAGTAGCTCAGTGGTTTTTTGTTTTGTTTTGTTTTTTAGAA